AGGACATTGGAATCAGAAGACTTTATGCTATGGTCTTACCATTTCTTTGCAGAAAAGCCACTTCTAGACCCAAATCTTACAACATTTGGAAAGAGAGGTTTGTATGATACCTTACCGTACTTGGATCCACGACTCAAGCTGCCACAACGAGTGCGATTCGGTAGCATTGCAGAGGTGGAGAAGTCAAACTTGGCATCGGGTGAGAGGGAGGTGATTGCAAGGAGTTGACGAAACTCCTTGGAACCCGCCTTCATGTTCACGTCGAATGGGGTCGAACTTAGCAAATTGCCAATGCGCACCTCCGTTGATGTCAACTGACGGTTCTAGTGTGAGTTTTAAAAAAAAAAAACAATGTTCCATCCAATACATACACGCACACACACGATTTCAATTCGATTCACTAACACCGCTAGCCAATGTCCCTGTTACAACAGGTTTTTCGTCTAAAAGCAGCTAATCGAGCAAGTCACCTTAATTTCGCTTTTCAACTTTTAGACAGGTGCGCGAGTTATCTCTTGCAACCTGAAGAAAAGTAACTAGAGCAACACTGGAAACGAGGCTGAGGTACCACCTCTACACTCTGACGGATGTAAGTGAAAACTTTGACCTTTCAAGTACCAATAACTAATCTAGGAATGAGGATAAAATGATGATGATGATTGGTAGGTTCATGGCTTGCGTACCATAGAGGTCTCTGCAGAAGGAAAGTCTCGCAGATCAGCGACAACTCCTTCTCGAGGCTGAATACACAGGGATTGTTGGTACATCAAGTCTTCAAATTCGGTCTCGTCTTCTACACCGGCCAGAGCATGGGGATCCAAATTTTTCAGAAAGTCCTGAAATTCATTAATATTAAGCAAGTTTGACACTCAGCGAGCGTCATTCAAAGACTCAATATAAACACAAATTAAGTGTTGTTCGATTAGGTTTGTTGCGAGAACAGCCATTTGAATTGGTAAAATTAACAACCTTCAGAGAACACAAGTTGCAAACGTGTACACCATCAGAAGCCGCATATAGAAACGAAATGTATGAATTTAAGCAAGTCAGGCTCACCTGAATAACAGGATCGGGTTGAAGGTTGAAAGGTATATTCTGAAAGGAGAGATAGTGTTCCTTCAAATCGGCAATTTGATGGCACTTGGAGAAGTTAATCAGCGGCTCCTCCTCACTACCTCCAGGCAAGTAGTCAGGTAATTTGAGCTCCAGGTGAATAAGACGCGTCTGCCCTCCCACCGCGATGAAGGGCACCGCAGGTGGGTCAATCCGATGCATGCGGTGCTGATAGTCGTCAATGTAGTCCTCCGGTGAGGCAAGCAAATCCTTCTCCAACTTTCCCGGCGGTCGCAGCACCTCCAACACTACGCGATGGTGGGCACGAGACTTGGCTAGTAGTACCTGGAGGTGAGCAAATTACAGTAACGATGTGGAAAAGTTGATTCTGTTTTGCCACCGAAAATCCTCAAAATAAATCGCGACAGCTCTGAGGCGGTAATCGTAGAGCCAGAGTACATCAGATAACCCTGTTTCTTCGAAAAGGAAAATAAAACATTTGGGCGCGTTTTGGATTTAAAGGGCGTCTCGGAGGTACAGTCGAACTGGCCTAGGAGAAGACACTTCAAGGCTGTAAAACGGGCTCTCCATCGGTGGTGCCTATAAATACTTTGTTCATATGACCAGCCGTATGTCCGGCGGTTACCTTGGCACATGAACTGGCCTCCGGACCAAGCTCAGGCTCATTCCCTTCTTACCCACCTTGAATACATCCATTCAGATAAACCTAATGCCCTCTACCAAGCAGGAAGTCTCGGAGCGCTACAATGCTCATCATCAAAGTCACTAGCAGAGGCATGAAAGACCTGGCAATGAGGAGCTACTCATCGGAGTGCAAAGAGGACACCATGTTGACAGGTAGCCCTGAGACCGATGTTTCAGCCTAGGTGGCGGCTTCCAACATGCACCTCGAAAATCACGACATTAAATAAATAAGTAAATCATAAATGAAAGTTAAATGAGTGGCAAAGAACTGGCGCACATACTTTGGTTACTCCACCGTTGACTCAGTTACAGCATTGTCCTACAGAGACGGAGCTTAACTCGAGGGAAGACGAAAGGTATCAACAAGGAGTGAAGGAAGAAGCATGACGCTCAAGTGCCTCAATCGGTGTGCTCGTGAAGTAACCAAGAAGTCTTGCCTATTGACTACAACTACTCACAAATTTAATGCCAAACTAAAGTCTAGTAGCTCTGGCGAAAAGCCATTCCAAGAGTAGCACGACGAACTCCCTGCTTAGAAGGCCGTCAAAGTGAAGAGGTAACGGGCTAATGACTACAAGTTGCAAAAACCTATTTGCTGTTTGTTTAAGGCGGACCACGCACCACAGGAGGGAGAAGAAGGCAACAATCAACTTGGAGGCAAACCATAACCTAGTGTGGGTTGACTGTGTAATAAAGTTGGGCTCATTTGCATTACCATTTGCTGCCCATCATGATGTTGTTTACAGCCTGTCAAAAGTATCTTAACGCAGGGATAACTTTTTTTCTTCCCACTCACAATAACGAAAGGCGGTAGGGAAAGAGAGGAGACTTTACAAGATCAAGCTACCCTTCAAAAGCAGACTTCGAATTGCACAGAAAAAAAAAACTCCATCCAAGTTGGGTGTTGGAAAGGCTTTGTCAAAAGACTGTCAGAAAAATAGTCGAGGAGGGGATGCGAATACAAAACGCACCAAACGATTTGTGTTTAAATGGGAATTTTTAAAATGTCAAAAAGGCGATTACCACATTCCTCTTTGTGCATTCTAGAATGCCGAGAGGATGTGCAGGGGAGATCAGACCGATACTCTAATAAAGTGGTTTTGATGTGGTGACTCTCGTTTAAGCGATAGAATCCCTCAATGATCCACCCCGGCACTCCAATCGACGACATATCAGATTCTACCAGAGGTAGTATTTGGATCTTCTCACCGGTGAAAATAGAGCAATTCGCGTTGTCTCCAACAATGTCGCAATGATGAATCCCCAAATTCTTTGTTTCCAATAGGTCTCAAGAGCGAAATCAATCACTACAGCTTGAAGGTCCTACTGTTCAATTATGGCACACACATTCGCCCCACAGTATCTCTGACAGTGCAGATTACTCAGCCGAGAGGCTTGTGACACAGCTTGTCGGGGTCAAGTATTGCGAAACGCTACACTTTTCACATTTTCGCCCAGCAATTAATAAAACCACGATACCTTGTGCATAAGGCACTAGAGGAGGATGTTAGGATTAAACTAGTGGATATCGTAACAGGTATTTTACTCAACAAACGAACGAAAGGTACATCAATATCTCAACAATTGAAATTGAGCGTCCGCCCAAATGCAATTATTTAATGAATACTGTAGTATTACACAAGTAGCGTTTTCCTTCAACATGAGTCAACCCAAACTTTCCAAATTACGAGTAATTTTACTAGGTAGGAGAATGAGCAGGGTAGAACACCTCCACCATTCTAAAGTGGCTTTGAGATTTGCGAAATCGTGTTTCAGTTAATTTTACAAAAGAACTTAATCTAGCAACTACTGACAGTAATGCTCACGCTAAGCTCATATTGACCCTTCATGGGATGACGCAATCAAAATTGGGATCCTGAACTCCAAAAAAACCGATGATCACTAACGAATAGCGATAAGCATTCGACATTTCCATGTTTCATAACAATACTACATACGGGATCACGACCTTTTGTCAAGCCAAGCACATGCTGTCAATAAATGGCGTGCGGAGATAGGCAATGCATTCGGAAGAGAGCGCTAACATGCGATTTGAATGTAACGACATTGAAAAAGTGACGAATAATGAAGGTAATGACAACAGTACTAGGGAACCAAAGTTCAGGCGTAAATAATAAAGCTCCTAGGGTAGCATAAAATGTTTCAATAAAATAATGCTTTCGTCCCACATGCTTCAAGACTAAGCTACTGATATCAAAACACTCGACTTCAGTAGAGTGATGGCCAATGAAATCAGAAACTAGCGTGCAAACCGAATGGAACAAAGCTAAAAGACAACGACTAATATAGGCATTTGCAACTTTACTTGGTGATTGACGCTCAGACTTGAGTAACGTGATAAGGGGAAAACACTTTCATTCTTAAACTGAAAGGTTAAACTACTGATGTCACAATATCCGATTTCAGTAGAGTGGATATGCAGTGGTAGGCATGGTAGAAATTTCCAACCAGTGTCAACTTGCACATAAAACTTATACCAAGCATCAACAGTATAACTCAAAGTTTGTCAGATTTCAAAACTTGTCATACTCATAACTAACAACTGCAAAACAGTGTCCGGTAGCAAAGTGCTAGTACTCACATCGAAGGTCTCCGAAAGACGATAGACGGGTGAGCTGTGAAGGGCGGCTCTGGCTTCTTGAGTACCTTGAAGGTTGCCAAGAGCTTCAAAGAGCATCAAAAGATCCAACACACGCTGTAGCACCAGAACCCGATCCTCCATTCCGCAATGCGACATTATGCTCCAGACCAGCCACTTGAGGAACTTGAAAGCATGAAAGCATTACAGCGTGCTGGGAAAGTACAACGTCCAAAAGCAAACGAGAGTGAGCCTACACAGGGCAATATAAACTATTAGATTGACAGATTAGTTACCAACCCCGATCCCTCTACATCGTCACAAGGGCTCGTGTAATAAAGACACAGCTCCCTCAATTTACTAATCCAGACAGAAACATTTGTACAGTCAAAGATGAACACTATGGATTGACAATGGAGTTGCTAGACGAAAGTTTTGTGCTACCAGTGCGCATCTAGCCCGATGTTTGATTGATGTCTACAGAAGGTATACGTGCAACGACTTGTAGGTACAATGTCATTGGTGCAGAAATGTTGGCCTCTGAAGTACTTTGCTAGGAAATCAGAGGGCAAACAGCGTTCTATGTCCCCTTTTCAGCACACACATGTACGAATGTACACATGAATGAGATCGCCGCATCTCAAGGCTTCCATTTGCATTGTTCCCACACCTTACAACCTCATTTGAAGGGCAGCTCAACTATCACGCGACGCTGCATGAGTATGCACACGTAAACTAATCCTCACTACTATCTGCCTTCTGGAGTGAAAGTAGCATTTTTGGGATGTAGAGCCAGAGGTGCCAGTTTTGAGAATTAACACTATCAAAAGGATAACTGTGATAAAGTGATCCTCTGAGATAAGTAAGAAAACATTTCAAATGGAATTTCTTGAGAGCAAACAAGATAGTCGATTGGCCGGAGGTATTGGTGAGGATAAGCGTTAACGATACCTTCCACCTTTAAGGTAATAACAGGGTAGTGATGCGGATGAGGGGATCATTTAAGTGTCATCTCTCCACCTTGCCTCTTCACTCCCACCCCAAGTTAAGCGCAAATCTTCCCATAAGGTAGTTGGGATCGTATTTGATTGTTCCATAGAAGTACATCTATGGCCTCCATTCCACTGACTGGCAAATTCCCCCTCAAACAGCCTGGATGGAGATGGTCTGGGAGCAAATTTTGAGATGATAATGCCAACTAGCTTAATCACAACACAGTCACAATTCCTTCCCATATTACAGTAAAAAGGAAGGTAGAACGTAGTGACAACAAAGTGGAGAAGAAGACTCATTCAAGGGCTGTTGGTGGATGTGGGTGGTATCCGCTGACCTATTAGATCCTGCTACAACGCCGTAATTGATGTAGTTCCAACCGAGTTGTTTAATTGCCTTTCGTAGTAAACACACTGTAAGGTTGTTATCCACACACATACATACATCATCCAAGATTGCAAGTAGCACATGACCTCATTATCATCAACATTGGAGGCGTTCTTTTTCCGTCTTAACACAATCAACTGCGTGATTGGTCGCAGTTCAAAATCGCATCAAATTAACCTCTACAAAAAAAGTGAATTGAAGGCGTTTTTAAAGTTGGGTGGATACAAAGGACACCAAATGTCGGTGAGGCATTCAAAAATGTAGTGCATCGGAGACGGAGAGAGGGAGGAGGAGGAGGAGGAGGAAAGTCAACCCAAGAACTCCACAAATTAATTAGATCATCCCCAATGCACTCGCCAATCCCCTGACCACTGGGGAAAAGTCCACTTGCAAGCGATTGATACATCATTTGTTAATATTGTAGAACATTGTCTATTTAAATTGTTCTTAGCGAATCTATTTCAAACACCGTGCAAGCTTTTCTAGGAATGCCTAATACAACTTCGTCCAAAAATGCCTCTCTCAAGGAGGCTGAGGTGAGGGACGAGGAGAGTTTCGTGTTGTATGCTCCTCGTCACTACTTTAAATTGACGTTACTTGAAAACTGTGGTCTCCTTTACTGTCAGAAAGGGGAGAACTTGTTTTGTCAGCAATAACTTTCAATTGTCAGAGTCTTGCCACTGTTTGGTTTACAAAACAATTGCGCAACTACTTTTTTTCCATCAATGAAAGTCAAATGCTCTAGCCAATGGACATAAAGTGAGATTGGAGTGACCGATTATTTTGTTGATAAGCAAACAACAATAACAAAAGTAAAGTTGCTCCTTGTTAGACACCGATTTTTGAAGTTGTGGCACGTATTTCCACCAACTCATGTGTTGGTAGAAGATTGATTGGATATGGAACTAGTTAAAATGGATATGAACATACTTAAAGTAACTCCTGCTTTATCAAGTGTGTTCGCACGGATCTCTCAGACAATGTGTAAGTCAAAATTGAGCTTTAAAAGCAACTATTGTCTCGATTATGCCCACTGTAAGCCCTCAAAAAGCGTACTCGACAAAACAATGTTGAAAATGAAATGCACAAGAGAGCTTGAACAATTGACTCTCACTTCAATAGGGCAAACAACCCCAACAACACAAGACACTATGCTTCGATACTTTGTTGGAGTGACACGAGTACTTAAAGCTCCGTGATTCCACTTTTACTGGGCGACAGTGTATCAATGGCATGCCAGAAGGAGACAGTAAAACCCTTTCGCCTAAATACTACTTCCCCTTCTTCAAGGCGACCTCAAGAGATTGCACATTAGACATAAAATTAAACACAGTTGTCTATATTACGGTAATTTAAAGGTTAGAGAAGTTGCAGATGGTACTTACCTTATTGGAGAAGTCCAAAGAGCGCCGCATATTGACACCCCAATTCTTCTCACTTCCAATGACCTCGCAGAACTCGATTCGCGAGTAGAGCTCCCACTCGTAGAGGGTCACTTGACGAGCCAACTCCAGAGGATGCACCTAAAAAGAAAAGCAGTGAAGAAATAGGCCTTCTGATACCTATCTTGAGCAACAACAAGGAGGCATAATCTTTATGTAGAAATGTAAGGTCACACCACGATAGGAAGGTGTCAAACACACTCACATTGGTAATGCGCACACGATCAAAGGTGAGAGCCAATCCAAGGTCAAGTTTTTCAGGTGCACATTGTCGAATAACTTGTACCACTTTTGTTCGATCCCCATGAAGGCAACGTAGAATAGCTGACACATTTTCAGCCAAGGAGGGAACTGTATCAATACCACCGAGAAATTGTTCCAATCGACGCTGTAGATCTGGATTGTCGGCAAAATCGACCTTGAAGTAGGAGGCATTTCGCACCCACTTCTTAATGAAGCTTAGAACTCTGAAAGGAGAAGACGATGCCAATGATACATCGTAGATACTCATGTCCCCACCTGATAAATAATACAATAGAAGTCTTTGCATCTAGCCACACTTCCATAAACCCACTGTTAATCGTCCCGACAGACTGTGATGAAACAGTGCCAACCTATTGGCAAAAAAAAAAATTTCCAAGCATAGAAACAAGAAATGACCTTCACTAATTGAGCAACAGTTGGGAAGGAAAAGTTATGCTGTAAACAGTCGATAAAATAAAAGTTTTGAGATGACAAAAAGTGCATGTATGTGGAGACAACACTTTGTCTGCCTCAGTGAAAGATAATGAAAGTAAAGTGAAAGAATTTACACTACCTATACTGAATACGCCGTTTGTAGGCTGAATTGAAGCGCAACTCCATACAAGGCACAAGGGATGCCATATCAGAGAAAGACCTCGCATTATCATTGACAGTGGAACCACTTCTACCGTTGCCATTGTTGTTGTGTAATAAGGCACGAAATTCGTGCTCAAAGTCCGGTTGTGGCACATTAAATCGTTTGATCAGCAATTCCACCAACTCAGAAGCTGACAGGTACCGACGATAGGTCTGGAAATACAACCTCAACAACTAACCTCCACGCAATTAAGATGGTGTCTAAGTTACTGCAATTGCCTACTTGTAGAAACGTGCGAATTGTCCGACTGTCGAAGCAGGTGTGCGAGGTGATTCGTTCAATCAACTTGTTAATAGTGGCAGCTCGAATCACAGCAATTTCTGCACTGCTGTCTGTTCTTGGTGGTTCAAAGAGGATGTTATTCGAGTCATCGGGTTTTGAGAAGCTGGAGAGACACAAATCCATTTTATCACTACCCATACATTGTGGGTGTGGAAAAACACGTCTCAGGTGCTCACCAATACTGCTCCGGATCGGGTAGAATTAGGGGGATTTCTTGTTTCGGCAGTTCACGGAGGTAGCGTTGGAAGATGCTATAAATGGAGGGAGGAGTTGGGAGACAGTCGGCAAGAGTATGGATGGATCGTACCTTTTACGTTGAATACCAATAAGTGTGGCAAGCCAATCAGCCTTTTCTTGAGGAGTCTTAAGACTGAAAATAATACGTTTAGCAGGTGCGGAGGAATTGGCAATAGTTTCACCAATGTAGGCTCCGGTAGAGGCATTGGAAACGGCAGGAGTGTCCCCGAAGGGAGTATTGAGGGTGGTGGAGGAGCCGGAGAGTCGATGAGCAGGTGTTTGTGCAAGAGTACCGAGGTTGACAGCACTGCCCTGTTTGGGTAGCGAGAGAGTAGAGAACGGTGGATGTTCTGGTTGCGTCTTTGATTGCTCCGATTTCATACTTTGGTGGTGACGTGATACTACTATCACATCGCGCCAGCTTTCCAGTTCAAACAGAAATGCCGCCTCTGTACCGATAAAGACATAGCAGGAGTCTATCAGTCTGTTACGATTCAGCCTTTGTATTGTTTCAATAACTTTCTAATCCCACCTACACATTTTGTAACGATTTCAGTTCCATCCCTAAAATGTTGAATTAGTGGCAATGACAGTGACAGTGCCAGAAGGCCTAGTTGAGGCGGGTCATTCTAACGCGTTTCTAAACGTCCTCTGTTTGTAATATTAGACAAGAGGGAAAGAGAATGAAATTTGCTCCTTACCACCATTATCAGGATTAATTTGCATTCCCAGATCAATGAGGTGAAAGTGAGCCAAAGGAACACCCTTTTTTAGAATCAGACCACTTCCAGAAGTTGCTGAGTTGGATGAGGAGGGATTAGTCAGGGCAGCGGCTGCTGCCATTGCAACGTTAGTGAGAGTGTTGCCACATCCTCGACGCGGCTGTCCGACACGTTTTAGTAGGAGAAGGCAGTCAGTGAAGAGGTAGGCCACACGATCGGAGAGACCAGTCTTGGCCGGATTCTGTCGCACTTGAACCACGCCCGCTGAAGAAGAGGAAAAGTTCAACATCGTTGACATACCGATTTGGCAAAAAATAAATAAATAAATAAATAACATTTTAAGCAGATCTAATGTAGCGCCTTTCTCTCATCATTGATCCACCTTTACGTTGAATGTGCTTTTGATAGCGAGTGTTTTAAACCAACGGAATGGTTTGCGTTTATGAATCATCAAGTGGTGATAAACCTCAACCAAAAACTCTGTGGTCATGACTATGATAGCGAGTCACGTGGTATATTTGGCAGGTTAAGCATAGACATGCCAAAGTGTG